AAAAAAAAAAAAAAAAAAAAAAAAAAAAATTTTCTCTGTAAGTTGATTATTAAAGTATTTTTATAGTGGTAGATAGCTGCCTAACAGAGGGCAACTTTCACGTCTCATCTCCTATCAGTGACCATTCAAGAGATCTCTAGGTTCAGTTTCATGTGGGAATGTCCCTTTATTCTTCTTGAATAATCAGCCACTCACACGTGGCCATTATTTCAGTGTGAGGACACACTTCTGCCTAGAAGCCACAGTGATCACAGTGTACAGGCATGACCAGGTTTCCTATTTCCTTTGCAATAATCCCTCCTCCAGAGGGTCCTAAAGCTCCAAACACAAAATCAACTTCCTGCTCAGATGCCTGAGCTGATATGCCCCTGATTCTATCTCATTCTCTCAGCCCCATGTTGCCAAGTATAAGCAAGACTTACTATTGGAAAACGGAAGCAGTGAACTGTATGTTGGTTGCCAGAATTTGAGAGGAGAAAAGGACTGATAACATTCTATGTTTATCATACAGTTAGGTTGCTCAGTCTCTTTCTGCTCCTTTTCTTCCATAGTCTCTCCAAGCTCCAGGTCTACGGCCTTGGCATTGGTAAGAGAAAATGGAATTTCAAAGCCAAAGGAAGCTCCATTTCCATTTCCTTTAAAAAGTCTCAAAAAGTCCAGAAGGAGACAGTGGCATCTTAAACCTTTCCTGTCAAACAGTCAATGCAAGTCCATAGAGGACTACGCCATAGATAAGCAGCACCCAAGAGAAGGCAGATTGTTGCCTTCCATATCTGAGAAAGCTAGCCTCTGTTTCCTGGCTCTGATCAGGCAATGGGGAGTCTGTAAGATTACAGAACCACCAGTACCCTCAGAGACAAGGCACCCAGAGGGCCATTGTATGAAAGGGAAACACGCTGACAGAAAATACTGGGATCTGAGCTGCTAACAACATGAATATTGAACCTCTTTTTAAAATCATGTACAATTAGCATAATTGCCTACTTTTCTGGAGCAGTGTATTATCTCCAGGGTCAGCCATATGCACATGTTGGTGGAATGCTTTCTCTTTTCTTCGTCTTCCTCCGTAAATAGTTCTCTTTCTGTTTGAACATAGGTATATATGCACATCGGAAGTTTTACTCTCAAAGGTCCTTTTGGAACCAACAAAATTATCTGAATTTGAGGTTTGTATTGGTGCTAGATGTCGACAGTATCGCAGAAAGCCTTGGATAGACCATCTGATTTTATATTTTCTTTATTAACATCTACTTATATCCACCTTCACATAAAAAGACCTTCTAACTCATCATTCAAACCAAGACACTTTGGAATGTGAAAGGGGACACTAACCAAAAAAAGTCACCAGAAAACTACCATAGACAGAAAGGTCCAGGAAAATCAGGATTTACAGTAACCTTAATTCTACATCGCAAGAGTAACTGGATGGGCAGAGAGAGCTGACAGTAACACTGGCTTCAAAGTGTCTTTTAAAAAATGTTTTGGCTATTGTTTAAAGGCTTATATCTCCTTACACAGAATCATAAACCATAAATAGGACTTGCTTTGTAAAAAAAAAAGTCTGATACCAGGTGTAGGACAGCTAACGAAGTATATAAGGTGTAGAGAGGGTCTAAAGGCAGGAAATATGCAGACTCTATATAAAATTGGAAATTGGGCAAGTAAGAATTTTAAGCCAACTGAGAAGATGGTTAACAGGACCAGTACTGTTCATCTGTACATATCATATAGGTCTTAAAACACTAGCGTATGCGGCATACAGGCCCGAGTGTGTGCTTTTTTCCTGGGTAGCACACCAAGGCATGTTTTCTTAGGAGATGGTTTTCTCTGCAATGTCTGTAAATGGATCAAATATTATTGAAACAATTATAGAAGGATGGCTCTTTAGAATTGTATGAAACATTTCAAGGATACACACCAAACCACAGAAGAGCTGCACATGGATCTTTTGATTGGGGAGAGCATAGGTGACAAGTTAAAAATCTCAGTGGCCCATGTGCAGTGTGTTTCGTCTGGGTGAACACATCTTCAGGTCCAATATTGTTTTAGTACAGGGAATTTCCAAACTCAAAATATAAAATTCTTCTTTCCTTTTGCCTTCACCACTACCCATCCCTGTTGCTTCCCCTTCCCCTGAACAAAAACCACTCGCATCGCAAGAGTCAAGCCCAGAGGCACAGTTTAGCCTGTTGATCAGCTAGAAGGTCAGATCGTGTCTTATTTCCCCCTGCATCTCTTATACATGCAGAATATGGGCCCTTCTCATGTGTTTGCTGTAATCCTTCTCTACTGGAAATTCCTGGGGACCAGTGTTAGACAAGTAGTTAATATAGTTTTCCTTTTAGCTACTTAAGTCACTGAGTCTTCAGTCCCAAGAGCTCACAGCCTCCTATTTTAGAAAAACCTAAGTTTCTGTTCACACAGAACACGTCAAGTATGTCTGCTTTTGCTCTCTGTAATACCTGTTTCTTATTTTGCCCTTTTTCTGTGATTCGGATAATTGTCTCTACTACTAAGTATGAGTCCGTCTGAAAAAGCGATCCAGAAGCAGTATGATTTGGTGGTGTTTACGTGTGCGGCAGGAAGAGCACTACCAGGAAAGGGGGAGAGGGGCCGTGGGGATGCTGAGCTGCAAGGAAAACAGACAGACGAGAAAGACACAGCAGCTCGTCCTAGAGGACAAAAGCTGGGGGCATTTCTTGTTTCAGTTTTTTGTTTCTCTCAGTTGTTTATAATCTGAGCCACAAATAGTTGCCGGAGAATACATTTGGTATAATTTCTTAACATGAAGCACGTGTCTCCTCTGACCACAGAACCCTCTGTGTTGAATTTCCTCCAATAATTGACTGGCCTTTCTTGTCTTAGAGGAAAAGCAGATCTTATTTCTCACCTATTTCCGAGCTGAAGCTTAGACAAAACTTCTTTTGAGTTCATATATGGAAGCAGTGCATTTTTCTCAAATAAGAAATTTCTAATTGGTCATTTTATTGTAATATTATTTTGCTTATGAACTTGGGATTTATAAAACAAACAAGTCAGTACCAAAATAATTTATGGGGAGTTTTTTGTTTTGTTTTGTTTTTTGGGTTTTTTTTAGTACAAACAAGCAAATTTAAGAAAATTTAAATCGCTGAACATGACAATGCCCAAAACAACCACTGCCAGAATTGCTGAATTTTTTTCAGTCACTAAGAGGGCTACTTCTGAGGGGTGGATTCTGCCTGTTTGACCACTGCTGCATGCGGAGCTGAATATACCTCACACACCAATGCCCCTGGGTCTATACAACAGAACAAGTTTTAATGGCTGAAATATCTGACCAAAAGTATCTGCCACATACAGCTCCAGCCCCTCTCTCTCTCTCTCTCTCTCTCTCTCTCTCTCTCTCTCTCTCTCTCTCTCTGTGAGCACACAGACAGCCAGCCATCATGAATATTTAAAATTCAATCATTAGGTGCAGCAGCCGCAGTGGCAGCATATTTGTTGCAACTGATCAGCCACTAATGGTTTAAAAACTTAGAAATTGGGGGCTTCTTTTCTCAATTGCAGAGGATTATTCCACGCCACTGACGCAACTTGTCAGAGTGGAACAGTGTATTAAAAGAGATGGGATTGCACACCCCAGGGTCGCTTACAATATATAATTTACTAAGCACACATGCTTAAGAGAAAAATAGATCAAACAGATGAGATTGGAGAGCCCTGTAATACTCCCTGCCCAGATCAAATCTACCACCAAATAAACAAACACAATATCCGCAATTCTATTTCTTCCCATGTCCCTTGTGGACAGCTCTCTGGTTACGAGGGTCCTGTGCTTTGTGACCTTAGCTCACCACTCAGCCCTTCATTCCTCCAGATTAACTTTGCTTTTCAAGGGAGCCCTTGGTCACAGTAAAGCAGCACCTTCCTCTCTTGTCACAATCGTCAGGTGAAGGATGTTTTCTTCCATTTCTGAGTGTGGTGATAAGCAACAGGGCACGGGTAGAAAGTATTTTTTGAAGATTCTCCCTCCTGTGTTTAATTGTTCCTGCTCACCACTGCAATCAGCTTCCCAGCGCGGCCACTGTACTCTGCCTCGTAATCAGTTCCCAGCTCTCTAAGTCATATTGAAAAGACTTTCTGCAGAGGCCCAGAATCGGCATCCCCCATGACCTGAGTTGTCACAAGTCCTGCAGAGTGTCAGGTATGCATAGAAATGCCTATAAAATAAGCACTTTTCTTTCTGTCTTCCTTCCTTTTCCCCGCTTCCTAGTATGAAGATTAAACCCAGGGCCTTGACCCCAAACTACTTTCCCAGCCCCCACCACCCCGACAAATTCACATGAGGTCGCCAAGTTTCCAAGCTGCTCAGCCTTCTCGTGCGCTGAGGTTACAGGCCTGCACCACCAAGCCTGGCTAGCACTGTGCTTTCCTATGGCTCTTCAGGACGTTGAAAAACATTTTTATGATTTGCTCAATAGATTGAATCAGGGAGTGAACTTGTTCTCAACACTCTGCCCGCTGCACCCAACTTTCACACTTGCCTGGACTAACAGTAGGATGTACTGTCCCCGAAGAAAAAGACAAAAACAATGTGCGCGTGTTCTGTAATCTGAATAATGGGGGAAGGAAGAAGCGGGGGAGAGAGGGAGAGAAGAAAGATTGTCAAGTGGTGCAGGGGGCGCCATTTGCGAGTCAGGTAGACCCAGTTCCATCATCCTGTCTTGGTCTGGCCTTTTCATAGATTCTCAAAATCCTAAGAGTGAATCTGAAAATCTGACTGAATGATGTGAGAAAAAGCAAACCC